AGGATACAGGCCAGAAGGAAGTCCATTACATTTAGATATCATACCGAGGATACAGGCCAGAAGGAAGTCCATTACATTTACATATCATACCGAGGATACAGGCCAGAAGGAAGTCCATTACATATACATATCATACCGAGGATACAGGCCAGAAGGAAATCCATTACATTTACATATCATACCGAGGATACAGGCCAGAAGGAAATCCATTACATTTACATATCATACCGAGGATTTACATATCATACCGAGGATACAGGCGAGAAGGAATTCCATTACATTTACATATCATACCGAGGATACAGGCCAGAAGGAAGTCCATTACATTTACATATCATACCGAGGATACAGGCCAGAAGGAAGTCCATTACATTTGCATATCATACCGAGGATACAGGCCAGAAGGAAGTCCATTACATTTACATATCATACCAAGGATACAGGCCAGAAGGAAATCCATTACATTTACATATCATACCGAGGATACAGGCGAGAAGGAAATTTACATCCATACCGAGGATACATCCATTACATTTACATATCATACCGATGATACAGGCCAGAAGGAATTCCATTTCCATTACATTTACATATCATACCGAGGATACAGGCCAGAAGGATGTCCATTACATTTACATATCATACCGAGGATACAGGCCAGAAGGAAATCCATTACATTTACATATCATACCGAGGATACAGGCCAGAAGGAAGTCCATTACATTTACATATCATACCGAGGATACAGGCCAGAAGGAAGTCCATTACATTTACATATCATACCGAGGATACAGGCCAGAAGGAAGTCCATTACATTTACATATCAAGGAAATCATTACATTTACATATCATACCGAGGATACAGGCCAGAAGGAAATCCATTACATTTACATACATATCATACCAGGATACAGGCCAGAAGGAAATCTATTACATTTACATATCATACCGAGGATACAGGCCAGAAGGAAGTCCATTACATTTACATATCATACCGAGGATACAGGCCAGAAGGAAGTCCATTACATTTACATACCATACCGAGGATACAGGCCAGAAGGATGTCCATTACATTTACATATCATACCGAGGATACAGGCCAGAAGGAAGTCCATTACATTTACATATCATACCCAGGATACAGGCTAGAAGGAAGTCCATTTCCATTACATTTACATATCTTACCGAGGATTTACATATCATACCGAGGATACAGGCGAGAAGGAATTCCATTACATTTACATATCATACCGAGGATACAGGCCAGAAGGAAATCCGATCATACAGGCCAGAAGGAAGTCCATTACATTTACATACCATACCGAGGATACAGGCCAGAAGGAAGTCCATTACATTTACATATCATACCGAGGATACAGGCCAGAAGGAAGTCCATTACATTTACATATCATACCGAGGATACAGGCCAGAAGGAAGTCCATTACATTTACATACCATACCGAGGATACAGGCCAGAAGGAAGTCCATTACATTTACATATCATACCGAGGATACAGGCCAGAAGGAAATCCATTACATTTACATATCATACCGAGGATACAGGCCAGAAGGAAGTCCATTACATTTACATATCATACCGAGGATACAGGCCAGAAGGAAATCCATTACATTTACATATCATACCGAGGATACAGGCCAGAAGGAAGTCCATTACATTTACATATCATACCGAGGATACAGGCCAGAAGGAAGTCCATTACATTTAGATATCATACCGAGGATACAGGCCAGAAGGATGTCCATTACATTTACATATCATACCGAGGATACAGGCCAGAAGGAAATCCATTACATTTACATATCATACCGAGGATACAGGCCAGAAGGAAGTCCATTACATTTACATATCATACCGAGGATACAGGCCAGAAGGAAGTCCATTACATTTACATACCATACCGAGGATACAGGCCAGAAGGAAGTCCATTACATTTACATATCATACCGAGGATACAGGCCAGAAGGAAGTCCATTACATTTACATATCATACCGAGGATACAGGGATACAGGCCAGAAGGAAGTCCATTACATTTGCATATCATACCGAGGATACAGGCCAGAAGGAAGTCCATTACATTTAGATATCATACCGAGGATACAGGCCAGAAGGAAGTCCATTACATTTACATATCATACCGAGGATACAGGCCAGAAGGAAGTCCATTACATTTACATATCATACCGAGGATACAGGCCAGAAGGAAGTCCATTACATTTACATACCATACCGAGGATACAGGCCAGAAGGAAGTCCATTACATTTACATATCATACCGAGGATACAGGCCAGAAGGAAGTCCATTACATTTACATATCATACCGAGGATACAGGCCAGAAGGAAGTCCATTACATTTACATATCATACCGATGATACAGGCCAGAAGGAAGTTCCGTTACATTTACATATCATTCCATGGATACAGGCCAGAAGGAAGTACATTGCATTTACATATCATACCGAGGATACAGGCCAGAAGGAAATCCACATTTACATATCATACCGAGGATACAGGCCAGAAGGAAATCCATTACATTACCGAGGATACAGGCATACATCATACCGAGGATACAGGCCAGAAGGAAATTCATTACATTTACATATCATACCGAGGATACAGGCCAGAAGGAAGTCCATTACATTTAGATATCATACCGAGGATACAGGCCAGAAGGAAGTCCATTACATTTACATATCATACCGAGGATACAGGCGAGAAGGAATTCCATTACATTTACATATCATACCGAGGATACAGGCCAGAAGGAAATCTATTACATCTACATACCATACCGAGGAAACAGGCCAGAAGGAAATACCATATCATACCGAGGATACAGGCCAGAAGGAAGTTCATTACATTTACATATCATACCATGGATACAGGCCAGAAGGAAGTCCATTACATATACATATCATACCGAGGATACAGGCCAGAAGGAAGTCCACATTTACATACCGAGGATATAGGCCAGAAGGAAATTTATTACATTTACATACCATACCGAGGATACAGTCGAGAAGGAAATCTATTACATCTACTTATCATACCGAGGATACAGGCCAGAAGGAAGTCCATTACATTTACATACCAAACGAGCATTTACATATCATACCGAGGATTTACATATCATACCGAGGATTTACATATCATACCGAGGATACAGGCCAGAAGGAAGTCCATTACATTTGCATATCATACCGAGGATACAGGCCAGAAGGAAGTCCATTACATTTACATATCATACCGAGGATACAGGCCAGAAGGAAATTCATTACATTTACATATCATACCGAGGATACAGGCGAGAAGGAAATCCATTACATCTACTTATCATACCGAGCATTTACATATCATACCGAGGATTTACATATCATACCCAGGATACAGGCTAGAAGGAAGTCCATTACATTTACATACTATACCGATGATACAGGCCAGAAGGAATTCCATTTCCATTACATTTACATATCATACCGAGGATACAGGCCAGAAGGAAATCTATTACATCTACATATCATACCGAGGAAACAGGCTAGAAGGAAATCTATTGCAATTACATACCATACCGAGGATACAGGCCAGAAGGATGTCCATTATATTTACATACCATACCGAGGATACAGGCCAGAAGGAAGTCCATTACATTTACATATCATACCGAGGATACAGGCCAGAAGGAAGTCCATTACATATACATATCATACCGAGGATACAGGCCAGAAGGAAGTTCATTACATTTACATATCATACCGAGGATACAGGCCAGAAGGAAGTCCATTACATTTACATATCATACCGAGGATACAGGCCAGAAGGAATTCCATTACATTTACATATCATACCGAGGATACAGGCCAGAAGGATGTCCATTACATTTACATATCATACCGAGGATACAGGCCAGAAGGAAATCTATTACATTTACATACCATACCGAGGATACAGACCAGAAGGATGTCCATTACATTTACATATCATACCGAGGATACAGGCCAGAAGGAAGTCCATTACATTTACATATCATACCGAGGATACAGGCCAGAAGGAATTCCATTACATTTACATATCATACCGAGGATACAGGCGAGAAGGAATTCCAATACATTTACATACCATACCGAGGATACAGGCCAGAAGGATTTCCATTACTTTTACATACCATACCGAGGATGCAGGCCAAAAGGAAATCTATTACATGTACATATCATACCGAGGATGCAGGCCAGAAGGAAATCTATTACATGTACATATCATACCAAGGATACAGGCCAGAAGGAAGTCCATTACATTTACATACCATACCAAGGATACAGGCCAGAAGGAAGTCCATTACATTTACATATAATACCGAGGATACAGGTCAGAAGGAAGTCCATTACATTTACATACCATACCGAGGATACAGGCCAGAAGGATGTCCATTTCATTTACATACCATACCGAGGATACAGGCCAGAAGGAAATCTATTACATCTACATATCATACCGAGGATACAGGCCAGAAGAAAGTCCATTATATTTACATACCATACCGAGGATATAGGCCAGAAGGAAATTTATTACATCTACATCTCATACCGAGGATACAGGCCAGAAGGAAATCTATTACATCTACATATCATACCGAAGATACAGGCCAGAAAGAAGTCCATTACATTTACATATCATACCGAGGATACAGGCCAGAAGGAAATCCATTACATCTACATAGCTGCTGGTCGTCTGCCCCTGATTTTGGTTAATTCTCTCTGAAACAGACAACTTCATAATGTTTTATATCGATAGGTCTACCAATATATTCGAAACAAAACATGTCGACAGGTCATCAGATTCTTAATTCAAAGCCAAATTAAAACTAGTGCAAAATATGAACAGACGAAATATTTACCGGAAGACCAATTAAAAAGTAGGAGGGAGAATAAGACCAGGTATTCCGGACGACGAAACGTTTACTGTTTCATCGCAAACCCCCGCAATGAAAACCTTGGTCATTCTAGAAGGCGATAATTTCACGTCCTCAAACGAGCACAAGGTGTACAACGGTACTGTCAAGCATGCTCACGATTATTTGATGTATCATCCAATAGCCCTTCGTCATAAAGGGTATCTGTCTTGTGGTAAGTTTTGAGTATTTATCATTGACATATTCGTCAAAGACGTTTAGATCATTTGAGCAATACATACACTATATTTTATTTGTGAGAAAGAGAATAATGAGGATCTTATTAAATGAATAAAGATTAAACAATGAACAATTTTCATACGATTCATGGTGCTTGCAAAAATACTACTGGACTTGTGAAATGTAAGAAAACGTTATAAATATGGTTATGTATAAAACTTGACTGCGTACGGCCATTTTAAACTGCACCAATATAACTTGTGCACTGTACTGTATATATCTTTGAGGTAATCACAACAATTCTTTAATAAACAAAAGTTGCACGTTACAGCAAAATCTCATCAACGCTACTCCTTACTGTAAAATCATAAAATACTTTTTAGTGGGTTACTAGTACGCATCGAATTACCTTGTCGGATATCGATGTCAAATATGTAAAACTTTACTGAACTATGGACAAGTTATTTCGTAAGTATAACGAAAAGAAAAAATAAGAAAGAAAATTGCGGAATTTATGCATTTTTTATTATGCGATTTTATGATTTTCATGCTACCTGATGTTCCAAACTTACAGAATTAGGAAAGAAGAAACATAGCCTGTGATTTTCACCCATATATTTTCATATTTCACTCAGATGATCTTTTCATTGTTGGATTGGAGTGTTACCTGTAGCTTAAGGTCGCAGTATAGAGGTTGTCTGATTAGACAATTTGCTATAATGTTAAATATTTACTGTATTGAGACATGGTATTGGATATTCTTTATAGACAGGTTATCGTTATAGACAGGTTATCGTTATAGACACGTTGTCGTTATAGACAGGTTATCGTTATAGATACGTTATCGTTATAGACAGGTTATCGTTATAGACACGTTATCGTTATAGACACGTTATCGTTATAGACAGGTTATCGTTATAGACACGTCATCGTTATAGACAGGTTATCGTTATAGACATGTTATCGTTATAGATACGTTATCGTTATAGACAGGTTATCGTTAAAGACAGGTTGCTTTTGAGGCAGATTCAAAGTATGAATATATATATATATATATAAAAGGTTTTGCTGTTATCTGATATCAAAGGTTTGCCTTAAAACAGTTCTTAAGCTGGCAGCGATTCTGTGGTTATTCGCACAAACCTACAATAAACAATAAGAGTTACCCTATCATAACTGTTAAAATGCAGATCGATCGTTTTAGCACTGGGGATTGTCTGTCAAGTTTATTGTTAAGAGATTCACTTAGAAAAGTATATATGATATATAGAACGCTTCTCGCTCGATGTTCTCACCATCGTTATTGTCATTCAACCCGACAGGTATTTACGTGGTAAGTTTAGACGTCATACATGTGTATTGTTGGTAACTGAGACCGACATCGTTTGTCTTTATACTATCAGGTCGCCGTCTCAAACATCTGTCTACTACTTATCATGTAAACCAATCCCACGTATTAATGACATGAACAATATTTAATCCATTACAATTAAAATCCATGTTTGAATATGTGTACTTCTGCAGCGCATACCACCGACACGTTATCAAACGATCAATGTAAATGTTATTATCATGAAATGTTTCAAGATATTATAAGACAGGGTCGAACGGGGCGGTGTGTTTTCATTTCGGAACAATAGCCAGACATTCGATATCTCCTGATTCCATTGACTGATTGACTAGGTTAAAGATCTTTTGTACCGTATATTTAACTCGAGACATCTGGCTACGAGAGGTTTGCTACATGAAGCGATCGTATCGAACGCACTCAAGACACACAGGAAAATACCTTTAAAAGGGACTGAGGAGAGACTATGTACTGAATTGACTAAGTATGACGGTCTTATCGAACGCCATCTAGTGGGAATATGTAATACCGGGATTACTTAACAGAGGAAAAACATTAGTGGAAAAGAGAATGGCGTATGAAACGAAAATTCCGAAACAGAACAAAACAAAAGGAAACTCATTTTTGCCATAATAGGGAATGCTTTTAATATGTGCCTCAAAGGATGAATTCTTTCATTATTTTGGAATTACTTTCTTTCTTTTATCAAGGTAAGTTTATACAATTGTGTTTAATAACTTTAATAAATAACGTGCATTGCTTACATCATACAGGTGTGATATATAAACTAAATGACGTATACGTGATTACATCAGACAGGTGTGATATATAAACTAAATGACGTACACGTGATTACATCAGACAGGTGTGATATATAAACTAAATGACGTACACGTGATTACATCAGACAGGTGTTAGCTATTAATCTACTAAAACACACACGTTTTTTATGCTGTATGACTGGTTGATAGGCTGATTATAAGACAACTAGAGATTGTCTTTATCAAGCGTGATATTTTCAAAACCAATAGGGGAAATGTAAAGAGGAACTCATTCGGTATAAAATCACAATAGCACTTTTTCATTACATCTCACTTCTGAGCATAGGTGATTAAACAATTAATTACTGGAAAGTATCTGTACCTAAAAAAACAGTGAACGAATTACACTAACCTAGTGATAGTTGTTATTCCTACCCTACTGGAAACCTCACAGTTTAGGGTTAAAACATCATCATCATATACAAAGTTTTTTTTATTGTTGAGGGAATTTATTTTTTATGCCAGCATGGAATAAATCGCGACAAATAGAAACTAAAAATAAATCATCGGATAATATAACACCAGTCCATTCCAAGATACCTTACGTTTGCTTCAGGCTTTGGGTTAGATAACCACTCTTTCAGTATAAGACAAATTTTGTAAAACTCACCGAAAGTTCAAAGAAACAAAAAAGACAAAAAAGGGGAAAAGATTTTCTGCATTTTACATCCTCTCATATCGTTTAAAATCACAAATGACATTCATTTTAAAACTAAATATATAGTTTTGTCTTAAAGTGTGTTTTCATTTTAACAATGTTTGCATCCTTGTAACACCCAGGGCCATAAAAGGACGCTGCAAGTTTATATATCTCTTCAATGTCTCTTTTATAGAAGACACGGTAGGAAAACTCCGATTCTACAGGGGGCCACTTTTTGTTGCCTTCTGCGATCATGCAGTGGAATGCAGTAAAGCATACTCTCCGATACCCCTTAACTCACTGCAGAAACCAATCCCGACCTGTAACGGTTCGTCACAATTAGTCGCAGGCATATTGCTTTCCTGCTCCTGAGAGGTTAATGATTGTTAAACTAGAAAATATAACGGCCCCGCTATGACAGTAAACTAGAAAATATAACGCCCCCGATATGACAGTAAACTAGGAAATATAACGCCCCCGCTATGACAGTAAGCTAGGAAATATAACGCCCCCGCTATGACAGTAAACTAGGAAATATAACGCCCCCGCTATGCCAGTAAACTAGGAAATATAACGCCCCCGCTATGACAGTAAACTAGGAAATATAACGCCCCCGCTATGACAGTAAACTAGGAAATATAACGCCCCCGCTATGACAGTAAACTAGGAAATATAACGCCCCCGCTATGACAGTAAACTAGGAAATATAACGCCCCCGATATGACAGTAAACTAGGAAATATAACGCCCCCGCTATGACAGTAAACTAGGAAATATAACGCCCCCGCTATGACAGTAAACTAGGAAATATAACGCCCCCGATATGACAGTAAACTAGGAAATATAACGCCCCCGATATGACAGTAAACTAGGAAATATAACGCCCCCGATATGACAGTAAACTAGGAAATATAACGCCCCCGATATGACAGTAAACTAGGAAATATAACGCCCCCGCTATGACAGTAAACTAGGAAATATAACGCCCCCGATATGACAGTAAACTAGGAAATATAACGCCCCTGGAAACAAGCACAGATGAGCACTTTTGACTCTTCAGCATGACAAAGATTTCAATTGATTACATAAAGATTAAGATTTAAGTAGCAAATGTAGTCGATCTACTCATTCTGGTTTCCGTGAAAAAAATTCGTATTTCGAATTTGTTTCACCAAAATTGATTTTGATTTTCAATCTATTAACATGTTGTTATTTGTTTGAAGGGTTTATAAGATATTATTTAGTATTTCGACATATTTCAAACACATGTAAATTGATTGAGCCTTCATCTCCATTACTCTGATGCCAACACAGGAACAAGTGCCATGGGTAGCACTATACAATCGAGAACGAACCGATAGTGCTTTAAACATTAGGCAAGTAGCTTTTCGGGTTATTATCGGTTTCTTTTGTGTACACTTCCTTTAAGGTATCAATGCTGTTATATATGGTGATGTGAAAAGTGGCCCTGTAGAAACTACATTTATCTATCGAATATCAACTTCATGTGTTGAGCAATGTCTACCATGTATCGTGTGTGAAACTCAATTATTTTAGTCTGTAGATGATTTGTTGTTATTGTACGAAGCCTAGACATACCAATTACAACGTGGATATCAAACTATCTTTACCAGTATTGTATTAAACATGGATACTTCATCTCTTTGTTAGTTGCAGATATAACTGTATTGATATGGTACATATAAATAACCGTGAGTCGACAGACCACACAATATACAGAGCAAATGTAATATAGTTAACGCTTTCCTCGATAGCAATTACAACATGAATTGTCGTAAAATGCAGTTTAATGTCTTGAAGCGATTAATTTACTCCGGAATGCCACTAGTTTTAATTACTGCACCTACAAACACAATTGACGCATTTTTTGTTCATATGCATCTTGACAGGTAATTGAATGAGTGTTTCCTATTTACTTTTTTCATGAAAAATACGAAAAGGCAGAATGAGGTAATGTTTTGGCGATTCCGTTATTTTTCCTGTGTTTCCTTCCTGATACTGTAAAGTCTTGTCATCATTTGTGAAAGATCCGTAGCATCTTGATAAATCAGTAATCCAGATTTTCGTTCATTCAAAGAAGTAATAACGTTTACTTTAGAAATGTTTTCACAGTTAACAATCAGTCCACTGAACTGAAATTGCAATAAAAGGTATTTCACGATAAGT